TTGATTACCAAATTCTAATCTATAAACTTAAACACTATGGAATAAAGAATAAAGTTTTAAAATGGTTTGAAAGCTATTTGTCAAATCGTAAACAATTTGTTCCGAGTAATGACGGTTATCATAACAATTGTGTGAGGAGTCCCACAAGGCTCAATTCTTGGTCCACTCCTTTTCCTAATTTATATTCATGATTTAAATAAAGCCTCTAAACTAACAAGTATTATGTTTGCAGATGATACTAACTTACTCCTTTTCTAACAGTGATACCTTTGAACTTTTCAAAACAATGAACAAAGTGCTTATACATGTATTGAGTTGGTTTAAATGTAATAAGTTAACTCTAAATTCTAATAAAACAAAGTGGATCTTATTCCACTCGCTTTCCAAAAAACGATATTTGCCATTAAACTTTCCTAAAATTTTTATTGATCAAAACGAAATAAAAAGGGATTTCGTAACAAAATTTTAGGTGTTTATCTTGATGAAAACATAACTTGGAATCATCATATCGACTACATAAGCACTAAAATTTCAAAAAACATAGGAGTTTTATATAAAACACGAATCTACCTCAATAAAAAAATTTTAATCAAACTTTATTATTCATTTATACACAGTTATTTAAATATTGCCTGGGGTAATACAGAAAAAAGTAAGTAAGCTTGTTTGAACTTATTTAAGGTTCTGACTACAAGATCCTTTGATCTTCTTTCAGATACCTTATTTTATATTTGTGAAAGTTTATTATTATTATTATTATTATTATTATTTTTTTTGGCAATATATAGTTGTAATACGACCAAAAAAAAAAAAAAAAATTCATTAAATTACATAGAAAGAACAATTACAAAAAAAGAACAAATTACATAGAAAGAACAATTAAAAAGAAAGAACAAATTACATAGAAAGAAAAAATTACATAGAAAGAACAATTACAAAGAAAGAACAACTTTAAAGAAAGAACAATTACAAAGAAAGAACAATTTTAAAGAAAGAACAATTACATAAAAAGAACAAATTACATAGAAAGAACTGATATGAATTTTATAAATATCACTTCTTTTTCAAATCAAAATGCAAATGAATCTTGTAATTTATTTTTAAATAAATTTTAAGAGACTTTTAATGAAACATGTTTAAATGACGTATAAAAAATAAAAACAAAAAAAATTGCTATTTCATGGAGGGATAAAACACTTATAATTCATGGTTGGATATAATTATGATATAATCCAGAAATTTCTGAAGAATTTAATATATATCATAAATGTTGGACTTGATCTCGTCAAAAAAATTACACCCTGCTCCAACTCTTTTAAAACATTTATTTAACAACGTCAAAAAACACAGCATTGAACATTTTGATTTGACTTTAGAAGAATATGAAACAGATTTTTTTCCATTAAAAAAAACATATGGATTTGATGATATACCCAATAATATACTAACTTCAAACAAAAAATTTTTTTATTGATTTATTTTTTTCCCAACGTAAGGGAGGATGGGTAGAAGTGAGCCACTTTTTTTAAATCAATTATATCAAGGAAACTAAAAGTGGAAAAAATATAGGATAAAGAGCCTAAGGTACCCAAAGTATAAGGTTTCTAATAGTAATACATGAAATATCAAAATATCTTCAGATTTTTAATAACTTTAACAATAACGCAGGTGTTGCTTCTGGTTCACTCCTACCCATGCATGGGTAGGAGTGAACCAGAAATGAGCCATTATCTTTGAGTGAACCAGGAGTGAGCCATTATCTTTGATTACCAGAAAGTTAAAATTAAATATTTTCTTTAACTAATTTATTGAAAATTAAGTAGTAACAAATACTTTATAATTAAGCATAACATAATTAAGTTATAATGTAACATAACAACAATAAATTTAACACAATTTTAAACTCATTTAATGAAATAAACTAATTGTATAAACTACCAGAAAAATAATTTGTTTTCAGCAACAACTGATTTTGACAACAAAACAAAAAGCTGTCATGACAAATGATAATTTCCAATTATTAAGATATAATAAAAGTATATATATGCAATGAAATTAGTATATTAGCAAATAGTATATTGATAATAAAAATAATATTTAGCAAATACTGATATAGTCGAACACAACCTCAAATTTGTAATGGCAATGCTGCCTTTAATTTGTTCCAGAAAAGGTTGGCCGAGGTAGCAACATTTTTGAAGTTATTGCAATTTCTTAAATACTTTTTCCTTTTTGGATTATATGCAATGCATCTTTCATATATTTACTGGAAGTTTTTTCTTTCGAAGTTGTTCTTTTATAGACTCGAGGCGTTATAACATATGGTAAAAGTAAATGTAATGTTGCACACGAGTTTTCTAATGATATACTAAGATATAAAAGTCAAACTTAAATATGCTTTTACGCTAAAGTCAAAACTTTTTTAACGAGAAGTATTAGTAAGCCGTGGTTCACTCCTACCCGTGAAGAAATGGCTCATTCATCCCCAAACTGTACTAAGGGAGGATAGGTAGGCTCACTCCTACCTATCCTCCCTTAATATCAAGCAACTTTATGCAGATATGCACTTTGAATTAACAAAAAAAAAATTATTTATTTTCACACCAAATAAACTTTCATTTAACGATAAAAAGAAAGGTTATGCATTATTTTATAAAAAAAACTTAAGAAGAAAACCTTGCCCTTAAATTACCAGATCCATTTTTTAAATAATGAAGGAATAAAACAGGAAGACATTATGAGGTTTTTAGGAACTCGCTAACAAACTTTTACCGTAGCTCTCCCATTTTAAATATTTACAATAAAAAGTTAGTAATCATTGGTACCGAGTTCGTCCTAATGTAAAATCACTTTATCAAAAAATTAGTATACTTTTCTATTGATAAGGTAATGCATCACCAATATCTTCTTTGAGTCCAGATCTTTTTTTAAAAATGTTTTTTTCTTGATATTATTAACGTGAAACTGTTTTGTAAGATATTTTATTAAATACCAAAATATATACTACTATCAAAAAAAAAAAGAGTCCATTTGAATATAAAAAGGTTACTTACTAAATAGTTGCTTTCTGTCACTGAAATGACCATAAAATGTTTAGATACTTATGATAATAAAGAAGATTAAAAGTATATCCCTGATATGAAATAAATTGATGATTGTGTAATCAGTGCCATATCAAGGAGGGGGGCTATAGTCCCCCTAGCCTCCCTCCTTGATCCGGCACTGATTACAATGAGATCTTTACTGTCATCACTAATTGTGTTTGAATACTTTGGTAAACTAAACAGTATTTTCAGCATCAATATTTTAACATTTACAAAACATGCATCAGGGGTAACAGAAAATTTGGATATATAAAGCTAAGTTAAACTTTTTAGTAAAACCTATTATGGTTGCCATACATAAATGATGTCAGTAAATAGAGGCGGTAAAACCAGAGGCAAATTTAACAAAGATGATAAATTTGCCTCTGACGTCCCTTAAGATATAAGTTTCTCATTGCAAAGTTCTGCGTTTGTTTTAAAAGGAAATAGAATATTAGGCAAAAACAAGTCATGGTTTACCTGCATCGTTCACCTGCATCGTTCACCTGCATCGTTCACCTGCATCGTTAGTCACCTGCATCGTTAGTCACCTGCATCATTAGTCACCTGCATCGTTAGTCACGTGCATCGTTAGTCACCTGCATCGTTAGTCATCTGCTTTACAGTTTTGTCCGCATTTATGGTATAAAACAAAACATATTTAAACCCAGATAGTTTGTTGTAAAAAATATAATATTTTTATTTAAAAAAGAATAAAGTCTGTTATACATAACATGCTCCAAAATTCTAAAAAAAAAAAACAAGTAGGAACTGAGATCGTTTAGTAATTTAAAACATAGGAAGGATCACCTGTTTTAAAATTTTTTCATGAAAAACTACAAGTTTTATAGATAAAATAAATTACGTAAAAAGTTACATAATTTATTGATTTAATAATGACATTGCAACTAACATCATCTTCATCTGAACTTCTATTAGGTTTTAGCCAAGAGACTGAATATAATAACTCATCTTCCGTCATGATTTGCCATAACAGTTTTATTGTGTTAGGCATGAATGAAAGTTCGGCTGAGATTTCAAGAGTGAGAACGGGTTGTAACCTGTATAAAAAGTAGCTTCCTCGGCTAAAGTGGCCACTCGGCCTTAGGAACAGGAATTCAGTAACTTATATAAGTTACTGAATTACTGTGAATATATTCATATAATTTTTATCTATAAAATATGTAATATTAATATATTCACATAATTTGGATTTTAAAAACACATTTTTTAAAAGAGAAGTATTATTTAAAAGAGAAGTAAAAGAGAAATTTATTTAAAAGAGAAATTTTTAATAAATTTCTCTTTTAAATAATTTTTTTTTAAATCCAAATTCGGCTTTCAGTTACATCCGTCTTTTAGTTAAACTCGGACTACATACACGGCTTAAATTCGAATTTCAGTCAAATTCGGTATACGCATATGATCTAAATTCGTCTTTCTTTTAATATCAAGTCATAAATAGTCGACTTCGCCGGTCCTTACTTTGAGTTACTTAAAACAGGGATCACAGGTTTTAGAAGTATCTCTGATACTTCTAAAACCTGTGGTTTAAGACCAGTGGTTTTGTCTATTTAATTAGTTAGGAGTATTTTGCTTGAAGAAAAACAGGCTTTGCTCTTTGCATCTGTCGCGTTATATTTTCAGGTTTAATAAGCAAATAGTTAGAAATTTTCATGATTTTTTGCTTGACTCGGCATTATAAGTCGCATTTTAATTCGCAATCCATTATATAAAAAAAGAAAAATCTAACAAAACTTTTAATATTATTAAGATGTATAATATTTGTATTTTAGGATTTCTAGTATCTTTCAACTTTGCATATTTAAATCTATTAATCCGGTGTGTATTGTAAACATTAAAGAACATAATAATATTGTAATATAATATATTATATAATAGAAATACAATCTCGTTGTATAATTGGAAAAAAAAGCTATACAGTAAAAATATTATCTCATAATATGATAGAAATATTTTAGTTAATTATAAAATCTTTGTAATAAAAAACATGAACGGTGACGTCTGTTTTTTATCAGAGTTGGTAGACTGAAAACTAGTAGTAAACAAATTTATTTTTTATAAATAAACTTTTTTTCTTTTTATTCGTGACAGTTATTGCTTTCACAAGCTTCAAACATTTCTTCACAAAATGATTCCAAAACAAATTGTAAAGCTACTGCACTGTTAGCATCTATAGTATCATAGGGAGGATCACACACATACGAAGGATCAACTTCATAAGGAGTACGCTCTAAAGCATAAAACAAAAAATATTTAAACATTTAGTTGATAAGTTTTATCCCTTACACAGTGGTCAGAAAGGCTTGAAAATGCGAAATAATTCAAAAGTACTAATTTTTAAAAACGAATTTTATGCCAAATAATTCTTCAAACCTTTAAGAAAGTAAACTTTATATTTTTGCTCTAGTGCACTGAACTTTTGTATTTTGTCCCATTTAAAAAAGCAAAGATTAAAAACCAAATTATTGAAACTGAAAAATGTCTTAATATTTTTATTGATAAGGGCTAAATTTTTTAATATATTATATCCAGTTTTACAAATTTGGAAAATTTTGCAGTAAGATTAATCTAAAATGAAACTCAGTGTAAAGGGATTAACTTGAAAGTCACAGAAAGTAAAGGATGCCAGATCATTTTCAAAATTGACCAAACTTTATTTTAAAAGATTAGAAAAGTTAAATTTCCGGTCTTTATATAACTGTCTAATTCTATTCAAACTTTAAAGTATTGATTAAGAATCACTTAACCATTTCTGCTTAAAATCATACCCCCTACGTCCCCCTTTCAAAGTTAAATCAATTCATTCAGCTGGCATGCCATTGCCATAGCAATCCTAAATTTGCCGCGCATCCTAAATTGCGCGGCAAATTTACGTATGCTCCCGTAAATTTTGGCGGCAAAATTTACAAATTTAAATAAAAAATTACAAAGACATCTTTTGATTAGAACATTGTACATAAAAAGTTGGGTATTCATTAGAAAGTCTATTATTTAAGTTATGCAATTAACAGTTTAATTAATTGTTCAGTACTAAATTTCTACAACGTCAACAACAATGTTTTAATTTGAGACATCATTTATGGATTAAAGGTAAGAATTTTTATCTTATTCAACTTTTCCTATATTTCTATTAGCATTAAAAAAACCAAAGAACAATTTCAGGAAAATTATTAACAGCTCTCTCTCTTGGTTGCAAATATTTCATGCTACTCAAACAAAATGTAAATGCACAATTTTCATTTGATAGTAAATGCAAAAAAACATGCTTAAAAGCTTTTATAATTTTTCTTTCAGACGTCCTTGCCACAAAAAGGCATTGAGTTGATTGAAATCAAAAATGGGGACATTTGTCAAGTCATGAAAGAGAGTAATGTTGCCATTACAGACAGAAATGGTCAATTTGAAGTTATTCAAGAATATATTTGTTCTGTACTCAGAACTTCCAACATCTGCAGAATTGATTTCCATTACTTGGAATAAAAAATCAACTCCTTTTTGTTTCACGTCATTGCAAGGTACAGGAAATGCAACTACTGTTTTGAAAAATTCATGAAAAGCAGTGCTTCATTTCTTGACAACACTTTCATCTCAAAAGAAAGCCTTCACAGCTCAACATCAGAGAGTGAAGGTAGCTCATCTTCATAAATGCTGCCTATAAAGAAGCAAAAAGTTGGAAAGAAAAGTAAGAAGCAAAAAGTTGGAAAGAAAAGTAAGAAGCAAAAAGTTGGAAAGAAAAGTAAGAAGCAAAAAGTTGGAAAGAAAAGTAAGAAGCAAAAAGTTGGAAAGAAAAGTAAGAAGCAAAAAGTTGGAAAGAAAAGTAAGAAGCAAAAAGTTGGAAAGAAAAGTAAGAAGCAAAAAGTTGGAAAGAAAAGTAAGAAGCAAAAAGTTGGAAAGAAAAGTAAGAAGCAAAAAGTTGGAAAGAAAAGTAAGAAGCAAAAAGTTGGAAAGAAAAGTAAGAAGCAAAAAGTTGGAAAGAAAAGTAAGAAGCAAAAAGTTGGAAAGAAAAGCAGTGAAAAGTCAGAGAGCACAGCAAAAATTTCAACTGCAAAAATTCGTCAAGAATATGAACCTGAGGCAATTACCAAGGCTGCTTCGCAACAAGGCACAACTCTGGCAAAAGTGATTCGAAAGTCAATAAATCAGACTGAGGAAGTTACACAACGACCACTTGATGCAATTTTATCAGAAAAAACTTCCGAAGTCATGCAAAAAACTCCAGAGGAGGCACTGTCTTTTTTATTGCTGAATGATTTATCAAAAGATCAGTATTGTGCAATGAAAACTGCATGCTCAGCAAGCAATGCCAACATCTGGTCCAACTACAACAAAATAGTTGAGGCCAAGATGAGTTGAGGCCAAGATGAGTTGCCGACCAAAAGACATTCACCTTTTGGAACATTCAGCATGGGTACCAATGCAGAATCTCCTTGATTACCCAGTAAAGAGGATTTTAGAAAAAAATTCAGTCCTTGAAATGATGACAGAGGGCAGTAACAACGTTGAGCTCATTCTTTACTTTAAGCTGGGTTTTGATGAATGCGGATCACTCAACACTTTTCATCAGAAAGACTCAAATGATGAGATTCCAGATGGCAGCACGTTAATGGTGAGTCAACTTGTACCATTACAAATCATTGACTTGAACTGCCCAGAGAGGGTAGTATACCTCAACCAATCTCCGAATTCTGCACAGTCATGTTGACCATTACGAATTGCATATGAAAAAGAGTCAAAAGCTGCCATCAAAAATGAGTCGACCAGGCTTCAGAAGGAAAAAGCAGAACTTCAGCCTTACATTTTGTCTGAAAATCCAGAAGTCAAAATTAATTACCATGGACTTCTCATCATGGTGGATGGAAAGGTTCTCCAACAATTGACAGACTGTTCAGCATCATCATCATGCCCAATATGCCATGAGACTTGTGGGAAAATTGCTAAGCCTGATGGAGATTTTACTCCCATGTCTGGATCTTTGGACTTTAGAGCAGTTTTGCATTTTGGCTTGAGAGCTTTTGATAGCCTTTGTCACGTTGGCTACAGGCAGAACATCAAAAAATGTCGAAAACATTTGACACCAGAGGAAAAGGCAAACATTGCAACTACACAAGAACATGTGAAGGCACAATTTGCAGATAAATTAGGCATTATGGTTGATAAAAGAAGGGATGGTGGTGCCGGAACAACCACTACTGGCAATGTTGCCGGTATTGCCTTTGACAACCCTGCAATTACAGCAAAAATTTGTAAAATTCCAGTTAACTTGTTGAGAAAATTGCCACAATCTCGGTAGCACTATCAAGTGGATTTGCCATCAATTCAACAAAGTTTGAATTGATGGCAAAAACTGAACTTTGCAAGGAAACTGAAGAAATTTATTTTGATGAAGAGAATGGCTGTGATTGGTATTTTCTAACTCCAACACTTTACAAGTTTTTCAAACATGGCAAAGATCTTATTGACAATTGCCCTCTTCCAATTGGACTTACAAGTGAAGAAGGATCTGAAGTCAACAATAAGTTTTTGAGAAACTTCAGAATGATATACAAGAAAGTCTTCATGGGCACATGGCATGGCTGATATGTTCCACAGGCTCACAGATTTAAGTGATCCAAAGGTTCAAGGATCATGTGTTGGAAAACGCCAAAGATTCAAAAAGAAGAGAAAACTGCCAGCAAGGATTGTTTCTTTACTTGAGTGTTCTGAACCAACCACACCACCATCACACTAGTCACCAGGCTTTCGTGATAGTGATTCAGATTAAGTTTTTGGACATTTGAAATTATTTTTAATTTAAAAATAGTAAAAAATTCTTGTGAAAATGAAAACAACTTATTAAAATTCATTATTTTTCTAAATTTTTCGTGTGATAAATATGTTTTCATTGTTATTCCAAGTGAAAAAAAATTTTCAAGTTATCTAAAGTGTAAAAAATGAAATGAATTGAACTTAAACTTGTGGAAATGGTTATAACTTAATGTAATTAATTATTTTTTTACTATATTGTGATAATGATGTTTTCAATGTTATTCTATTATTAAAATTATTACATTTTAAGTTGTCAAAAGTGTTAAAAACCAAATAAATTTTATTTATTTAAAATGTTTCATGCTTAATTTTTTATATTATTACCAATTTTAACTGTTTGGAACACAATTAATTTGCAATTTCAAGCATTTCTGACCACTGTGCTTTACTTCCTATAAGTGACCAACTACACATACCAATATGAGTGTCTCCTAAAAAATATTGCGGAAAGGAAAGTAGTGGCTCCTGCCCAGTATTTAAAACATCACTGTAACTATCCATAATATTTGGATAAAACATATAATTTGGATAAACACGAGGAGACGTATATTTCAACTTCACCTGTACACGCCTTTTAACGTGGTCTATTAAAATAAATAATTTTATTTTTTAATTTGTTCAAAAAACAATTTTGTGTACATGCTTACAATATTTAACATGTATATTATTTTCATTATGTATAATGTATAAATATATAATACATAATATACATATACCTAGCAAATCAGTTCTTCCTTTTTGAAAGAAAGGATGTGAAAACACAGCCTCTGGCCATAAATGTCTTTCTGGCACATAGTTTTGTTTATCGACTTGTACCTAAAAAAAAGCACTACCTTAAACTAGATTAAGGTACGTAGTTGAGGGTAAAAACAATGGTTTTTAACAAAATTTTAAATTAAATTTTTTTATTTTTAAGATGAATTGATCTGAAAGTTTAAAGTTTTTTACTATTACAGTTTTTACTAAACAGAAATTTTACTATTTCAATAAAAAACAAAACTTTAAATATAATATATATATATATATATATATATATATATATATATATATATATATATATATATATATATATATATACATATATATATAAATATATTTATATATATAAATATATTTATATATATATATATATATATATATATATATATATATATATATATGTGTGTGTGTATACATATATATATATATATATATATATATATATATATATATATATATATATATATATATATATATATATATATATATATATATATTTATATATATATAAAAAAAAAATTCAAATTATTCCTGTTGGAATCTAAAAAAACTTCGAGCTTTTGCTTTTGTAGTACCCATAAGCTTGCGCACATAATAAGAACCAAAACTATTTGATGCTTTTTTAAATGATATTTTAATATCTTTAATGTTTTTGCGAATTTTTTTGTTTTTCATTTTTCTTTTAATAACAGCCCAGTACTTTTCAATAACTCTCAATTCTGGGCAGTTTGGAGGATTTTCTGATTAAGACACAAATTTCACTTTTTTTTATACCATTCCACACAATAATGACTTGAAGCTAAATCAGGCCAAAACACAGGTCTGTTATTCATGTGATGTAATTAGAGGTAAAAGTTTGTAATACTATTTAACATATATTTGACCATAAAGTGTGGACTGAGAAATATATGGTGCTGATTTTTGCAACTGCAAATAGCTTGCCAAATCAAAGATTTTTTAGCAAACTTGTCTTGTTTTGTGTATTTAAATATCTTATCTACTTTTCCCCTATACTTGACCATAAAATCGACAGACAAAGAAATTTGCTGATGATCGTGTCTGATATAAGTTTCATTGTCTTTAACAATACAAAAATATTTAGCAACAAAATTGTCATACAACTTTTTTGCAGCGGGTTTTTGCACTTTTTTGTTGAGTTTCAGATCGGTTGGGCACTTTTTGTGCTTTGAAAGAATGAAAACAATTTTTATTTTGAACTTTCACAAAAAAATTATGAGAAAGTCCATTAATTTTTATGCGTTCCCTTCGTGAAAGACTTGGGTTAATCTTGGAACTGTTAACCAGTTATTCAATTAGTTTTAAAACCCTCCTTTCTTTCACCACCAGATTTGCGTTTGATTGATTTTGTTTGAGAAAAACTGTGAATTACACAACTAACTGTATCGATGTATTTGCTTTTGCTGTAGAACTGTAGCTACTATTGGGATTTTCTAAACTTTTGTGCATGATTTTTTTCTAATGTCGTCTTCTTTTGTCTTTATTTTTAAAAGTAATTTTAAGTTAAACTGAAAAAATTAACACATTTTTTTGAAACCACAGCATGTTGTAAACAAAATACAAAATAGTTAAAAAGACTTTAATATAACCACTGAAAAAATAATGTACTTATTCTTTCACATTTATTTTGTGTACAAACTTTTATATATCCAGCATATATTATATATATAAAACATATAATATATTATATATATATATACAAATATGTGTGTATAAATATATATATATATATACATACATATATATATATATATATATATATATATATATATATATATATATATACATATATATATATATATATATATATATATATATATATATATATATATATATATATATATATATATATATATATATATATATATATACATATATGTATATATATATATATATATATGTATATATATATATATATATATATATATATATATATATATATATATATATATATATATATATATATATATGTATATATATATATATATTTATACACACATATTTGTATATATATATAATATATTATATGTTTTATATATATAATATATGCTTGATATATATAGTAAATGCTTGATATATATATAATATATATATATATATAATATATATAATATATATATATATATATATATATATATATATATATATATATATATATATATATATATATGCTTTATATATTTAATAATATTCAACAATAAAAGTTTGAAATTTCTAGGAGCTGGGACCTAGCTATAGTAGATAGAAGAACAATTGAACTAAACCATTTGCATAGTTATTTTTGAATTGTTCAACCGACTCTGAAGCAACAACCAAATCTGGCAGACTGTTTTATTAAGGTACAGGCGATTGCTTAAAAAGTTATGCCTGGCTGAATACCTAGTAATCTTTCTATAGATTCTGTATTCCGCGCCGTGTAGACCACCAACTGGGCCATTCGCTGTAAATGGGCTGAGAGTAGAATTTTGCTATTTAACTATATTAAAGTTCTTGGAAATTTTAATTAAATCATTCTGCATTTATATAAAGTTGTTAAATCCAATTTAGCCAGATGTGATTTAAACTCAGGTTCTGCAACTGTGGCAGTAACGTAGTAGCAAGTCGCTGTACCAGTTCAAGCTGTTTAATGCCTTTTCTAAGGAATGGATTCCAAACTAGTGCACAGTATTCAAGCAGAGGATGAACATAAGATGTGGAGAGTTTGAGAAACCTACACACGTTCCATTTTTTAAAAGTTCTCTTAAGCATTCCTAAAACCATATTAGTCTTTAGTGTTGCTTGATTTATTTAGTCTTATTGTTTATATAAATTCCAAGTGTTTTTTTAATGCAGAAATTTTCTAATTGAATATGATTTTTAGCATCATCCACCATGCAAAGAGAGTGATTGAGATACAACAATTTACCATGAAACTTTAAAACTTCAACCTTTTTTTTTTTTTTAAATTCTGATTCAATCCCAACAAGGCTGCAAGCAACCACTATTAAGTTGGGAGTTATAGGGCAAGGAAACTGTTAACAGAAGACTTAAATAGTCATGAAAACATAAAGATGGGAGAGAGTTCCAAAGAGTTAAAGTGCGGGGGAAAAAACAAATAAAATTTTTTTTAAGAATGCAGGGACAGATACAGTAAACGAATGAGACTGAATGACAAGTCAAGCGAGATTGAGTTGATGGAACAAGATATGATAGCTTCTTTGAGCAGCGACCATGATTTTTTTGTAGAAAAAATCAGTAGTAAATGATATTCCAAGAAGACGTATAAAAGAAGACTCAATGAGAGAGTTGCCATTTGATAATAATGGAATGTCGACAGTACTGCCAGTTGTTTGCAGTAAATAACTGACATGTACAAAATCATGGTCTGGACATGGATATCAAGAAACACTAATTTGGTAATTAGTTGACTATCATCAGCAAACAATTTACAATAATTTCCGACAAGCTTTAGCAATATCATTGTTAAAATAAAAAACAGTTGTCCAATGACAGAGCCTTGGGTAATACCATTTAACACATCAATCCAATCTGAACAAAATTCACGCAAAACAACATACTGCTTCCTGATACTGAGATCTTTTAACCAAACTATTATTTTGGTACAAAAACCATAACCAGCTAACTTAAGTTGAAGCAAGACACTATAAATGCCTTAGCGAAATCCAAGAGAATTAGCATGGCAGCAATCCATTACTATACCTTTTAGTAATAATATCTAGCATTTCTAGAAGATTAGCTGCACACAATTTTAATTTTACAAATCCATGTTGATGATTCGACAAGAGATTGTTCAAGATCAGCCATCATATCAATTTTCTCCATTAACTTTCCAACTGCAGAAGTCACAGAGAATGAGAGACCTGGATCTGTGCATAAGCCTTTTATAAAGATTGGTGTGATATTTGCCTATTTTCAAACATAATCAGGTCATAATCATAACCATAAACAAATATCGGGAACCAGGAATGACTCAAAATTTATAAACATAAGTGAAAGCAGTACACTAAAACTTCTGCTGCAATTTTTTAATACAAACAAATGAATACCATCAAGACCACTACCTTGGTGTTATTCAACTTAGGAAGGAGTAACTCAATTTTATAAGAATTAAAAAGTGTCTAAAAATTTGGTTCTCAGCAGGTTTTAGTATAAAGAGGAAAGTTTAGATTAACTGGGTCATGGTTGGTTTACAGAAGGTTGTGTAAAACTGGTCATTTAGACAATCAACAATAGTTTTTTTATAGACAAGTTGAGTACCATTGGAATTAAAAAGCGATCAGATTTTACTAATACAAGGTTTTTGCCTGCTTACATATGCATAGAGCTTCTTTGGATTAGATTTACACACTTTAATTACTTAATTTTTGTAGTTTAAAACAATTTCTATAACTAACTTCTTGACTAATCGATCTTGCTTGTTGTACAACATAGATTTTATCTTTACATTTAGAAGCACAACATTGAAATTTTATAAACAGCCTATATTTCAATTTTTTTACAAGTGGTCGGCCATCACATTAGGACCAGCTGTAATTTTTTGTAAATATTGTGTAAAAATGACTTTTTAGGCAAAAAGAAAAATAATGGTGCAATTTAAAGCTTGTTTTTTTATTTTTAAAGTTATACTTAATAAAAAATAAAGAAATAAAATTGAACAATTTGAGTATTTATTGATCATTAATAAATATATATAAAGTATTAGTATTTTGTAAAACCACTTTTATTTGCAATAACTGCTTCGAAGCGTTGTGGCATTGTTGCATTTGATTTTTTATGGTTTCTATCAACTCTGGTTTATAATAATAGTCAGATCTTGATAATCTCTTCCATAAGATCTTGCTTGTTAGTAAGAATTTTTTGTTAAATCTCTCGCTTTACTATTTACCAAATGTTTTCTATGGGGTTAAGATCAGTTGAGTTGCCTGGCCATAGTAATACATCAACTTTTTTCTGTTTTAAATAAGCCATAACAGTTTTGACTGTGCTTGAAAGTTGCACCATCTTACATAAATATAAGATTTTTGACATGCTTTTAAATT